TGGGTCTCCTGACTGCCCCAGGATTTCCTTGAGTGGTGGGAGCAGGGGAGAGAGGCCAGAAAAGAGACTGGAGCCCCATCAACCTGGCATTCAGGCCCTCCCTACTGCTCACAGGAAGTCCCCGATCTCTCCTGCCCCACGTGCCTGCTGCAAAGAAAATGGGGCCTAGTGACTGGTCCTTTGCTAAATTACAGCACGTGGAACAGACTGAAAGGTCATAAAGCACGGAATCCTGCTTGCAGGCCTTTTGTTGAACACTGAACTATGAAACACCTGAAGGCAGAGCCCACATCCATCTCTCATCCTGCCCCCAGGGCTATGGTCTGAATGTGCGTGTCCTCCCAGATTCACATGTTGAAATCCTAACCCCAAGGGGATGGTATTAGGAGGTGGAGCTTTTGGGAGGCGATTAGGTCTGGGGGTGGAGCCTTCATGAATGGGATTAGTGCCCTTGTAAAAGAGATCCCAGAGAGCGGCCTCGCCCCTTCCACCATGCGAGGACACGGCAAGAAGGTGCCATCTAAGAACCAGAAAGCAGGGCCTTCACCAGACACCGAATCTGTTGGTGCCTTGATCTTGGGCTTCCCAGACTCCACAGCTGTGAGAAATAAGTCTGTGGTTCAAAAGTTAACCAGTTTATGGTGTTTTGTCATAGCAGTCCAAATGGCCTAACACCTAGCTAGCCCTGCAGAATACTAGAGCGCCCAGACAGATTAAAAACTCCCATATAACCCAACATCTTCACTTTCCCAAGCCAGAGAGGTGAAGCGACTTGCGCAAGGTCTCTAGCCTTTCAGAGGCAGAGCTGGGCCCCAAATTCAGCCTCCAAACTGCTCTTTTTACTGCAACTTAAGTCCCCAAGAATCTGGGGACCCTGGGAAGGTCTGCCCCATGCCAAGCATCTCTGAGCTCTGTGGAACAAGAAGCTCAGGGACTGGCAGCCTGGGTGGGGCGGGGTCTCTGGCTACTCAAGTCTGAGAAGGGGCAGGCTGCAGGGTATTCAGGCAGCCTTGGGTCAGATTCTGTGAACTGTTAAAGACCTTCATGTATTTATCTGTACTTTGACTTGCCTCAAAAATACCTAAAGTAGCCCAGAATAGACCAGCTGTTCTGCCTGAAGGACCTTGACTTTCCCGCCCCAGCCCCTGAGGCTTCTGGTAGCAGGAAGAAAGATTCCCAGGAGGCCATGGCAGGGCTGAGGTAGGGGATGCAGGTCCACAGGAGAGGGCTGCTGGCCTGAGCATGTCCCTTCCTTCCCTGCTCAGTCATGGCGCCTGGCCTGAAGCCCTGTTTGGCTGCAAGGATTCAGGCTGAGGCCGGAGTAGGGGTCGCAGTGGCTGGGTGTGGGCTACCACTGCCAGAGGGCGAGCCAGTGCTCAGACCATCTGCGCAGAGCCCCCTGGACTTGCTCCGTCCCTCCAACCCCCGAAGGAGTTTCATGGATACTGTCTCAGACGTCACCACCCTATGGGGCTGTTATCATCCCTTCAGCAGGATTTCAAAAATTATTTCTCCCCAGGTACATCAGCGGCACATGCCCACTGTGGAGAATTTGGAAAATAGAAAAGAAGTAAAGAGAAGGTGCCAACTGCTCTGTGCTCGGGGCTTTCCTTGGTCACCTGAGTCCCATCCTGCCCAGTCTCTCCACCCACCAGCCCACTTCACTTCTCAACATTCATCAGAGGTGAAGTTACCTCGTGTGCTTGTTTGTTTAACCTGACTCCCCCTCTCCCCCACTGGAATGAAACTCCATGAGAAAAGGGATCTATTGTCACCCGGCACGAAGGAGAAGCTCAGTAATGTCCGCTGGATGAATGAGTCAACGGCCTTTGCCCAGGCACCGATTAATAGTCTTAGTGCTTTATTATTATTATATTAAGGCTATTAATTCTTGGTGTACCAATTTGTGGGAACATTTTCTCTTGGTTTATTGTTAATATCTCATTCTATTTATGGTAATTTTTGACATGTAGAAGTTTTGATCTTTGGAGGTTACATGTATGGCAACCACCAGACCACAGAGAGGACTCCTGCGAGAGCTCTGGGTCCCTCTAAGGGGCTAGTCCTAGGAAATGGGGTGCTCAGAGTTTGGGGTAGGAAGCCACTTCTGCTCACAGCCCCCTGCCCCTCGCTGTCTCTCAGTCCCTTCTGTTCTTTCCCCTGATGCTGGTTGGGCCTGTGAGAGACAGGGCAGTGTTGCCTGGACTCTACCCACCTCTTCAGCCTTCTGGTGCTTCCATGAGCATGCTCAGGGCTGGGGAAAACAGAGGAAGACCATGAAGGCCTGAGGAGGTGGAAGCCCCAAAGTGTTGGGTGCAGAGTGGGCCATTCATTTATTCTCATGATGCTACTAGCATCACCCATCTTGCCCTGCACTGTAGCCCAAGTGTCTGCCATGGATGGGTGGGTGGATGGATGAGTGGGTGGGTGGGTGGATGGATAGGTAGATGGATGGATGGATGGATGGATGGATGGATGGATGAGTGGGTGGGTGGGTGGATGGATGGATGGATGGGTGGGTGGATGGATGGATGAATAGGTGGATGGATGGATGGATGGATGGATGAATAGGGGGATGGATGGATGGATGGATGGATGAATAGGGGGATGGATGGATGGATGGATGGATGAATAGGGGGATGGATGGATGGATGGATGGATGAATAGGGGGATGGATGGATGGATGGATGGATGAATAGGGGGATGGATGGATGGATGGATGGATGAATAGGGGGATGGATGGATGGATGGATGGATGAATAGGGGGATGGATGGATGGATGGATGGATGAATAGGGGGATGGATGGATGGATGGATGGATGAATAGGGGGATGGATGGATGGATGGATGGATGAATAGGGGGATGGATGGATGGATGGATGGATGAATAGGGGGATGGATGGATGGATGGATGGATGAATAGGGGGATGGATGGATGGATGGATGGATGAATAGGGGGATGGATGGATGGATGGATGGATGAATAGGGGGATGGATGGATGGATGGATGGATGAATAGGGGGATGGATGGATGGATGGATGGATGAATAGGGGGATGGATGGATGGATGGATGGATGAATAGGGGGATGGATGGATGGATGGATGGATGAATAGGGGGATGGATGGATGGATGGATGGATGAATAGGGGGATGGATGGATGGATGGATGGATGAATAGGGGGATGGATGGATGGATGGATGGATGAATAGGGGGATGGATGGATGGATGGATGGATGAATAGGGGGATGGATGGATGGATGGATGGATGAATAGGGGGATGGATGGATGGATGGATGGATGAATAGGGGGATGGATGGATGGATGGATGGATGAATAGGGGGATGGATGGATGGATGGATGGATGAATAGGGGGATGGATGGATGGATGGATGGATGAATAGGGGGATGGATGGATGGATGGATGGATGAATAGGGGGATGGATGGATGGATGGATGGATGAATAGGGGGATGGATGGATGGATGGATGGATGAATAGGGGGATGGATGGATGGATGGATGGATGAATAGGGGGATGGATGGATGGATGGATGGATGAATAGGGGGATGGATGGATGGATGGATGGATGAATAGGGGGATGGATGGATGGATGGATGGATGAATAGGTGGATGGATGGATGGATGGATGGATGGATGGATGGATGGATGGATGGATGGATGGATGCTCTAAGAAGTAGGTAATCACTGCTAAAGAAAGCTTGGCTTCTCCTGAATTCCTGAACCTCCTGGAAGACAAGTTACTTGAACTGAAGGAAAAAAAAATTTTTTTTCTCTATATAAAGATGACTGGTAAGGAATCTTAACCCTTAACTTGGTGTTGTCAGCACCACACTCTCTCAGATGAACTAACCGGCCATCCCTACATAGGGATCCGAACCCGTAGCCTTGGTTTTAATCAGCACCACACTCTCCCAAGGGAGCCACGGGCCGGCCCAACTGCAGGAAATTTTTAACTAAAGAGAGAGAGGGAAAAAAAAAAAAGCTCCAAACGTCCCAGAACCACAAGCCAAAGTTATATATGACAGCAAACTTCATGGCTTTAACATGCTCCTCTGAGCTGTCAACAACTCACAGAACCATCCAGTCAAACTAGCACCCCAGACAGAGACTGGCACATGCAAAAACTGAAAACAGATGTAAAGAGAGTCAGCTAATCTCAAAAGCCAGAAAGCCCAAAGGGGATGCTTGGGCCTGGGAGTCTGACTCCATCTTCCAAGGCTGATGTCTCAGTACAAGTTGGGACTCCCTCGGAGCCATTATCTGGGCTGGCTGCACCCCAAGAGATTCTTGGTGGAGGGATGGCTGTGGCTAAGTGGGCGGGAGGAAGTGGGGAAGGAGAAATGGGGAAGGAAAACTGAGGGTAGGTGGAGTGAACCACGCTTCTGCCTTCATCCGATTGGGGAGCGTGGGCCCCTTATCCACGTCACTAACCTCCTCCCACTGACAGAGGCCCTGACCCAGGGCTGGATGAGCAGGGGGCTGAGAGTCCCTGGGGGCCACCCATCTAAGAACTCACCATAACTCCCTGTCAGGGTCCTCACCGTGGGCACTGCCCACTGCTTTAGCCTCACCTTTTACACTACCAGCTCCTGCTATCCCCTCTACAAAGAATGCCCTTTTCCTCCCTTTATCTGACTGGCTCCTATTCATCCTTCAATGCTCAGCTCAGGTGTCACCTCCTCCAGGAAGCCTTCCCTGACTGCACAGTCTGAGTTACATGCTCCCATACCCTCTAGGCTTCCCATGTTTCCGGCACTTGTCAAGCAGCAGTAACAGGTCTCTTCATTGGCTCATCTCCCCTCCTATTCTGTGAGCTCCCCCAGGACAGGGCCTATGGAGGATTCACATTCACATTCCTGTCCCCAGGGCTCAGCTGGAGTCTGGCACCCAGGAGGTGCTTGTTGGGCTGCCCAGAGTGGTCCTGGCATGGCTGGGTTGGGGGTGTGTGATGGGCCTGCGTGGCCCAGAGCTGACTCACCCTCCCCCAGCTGCAGGGCAGGGTCCATGAGCTCCATCATGTACTCCACGTTGAGGAGCATCTCCGCCAGGTTGCTGCGGGCCAGCACATACATGAGCACGGGCAGGAAGTCGTCTGCCCCGTAGGGCTTCCCTGCGAGGAGGAAGGAGGCAGAGGCAGTGAGTGCGAGGCGGTGAGTGAGGGGCAGTGGATGGCTGGGTGCGGGCGGTCACCCCTGGAAGAGGAATGTTCTTGCTTTCTTGCGACTCTCAGGCCAGGAAGGACCCTGGGATTAGCCTCCTCAGGGAGGCCTGAGGCACGGTCCAGGTTTAGGAGGAAGGAAGTGAGAAAGAGCAAGACCTTGACTCCTTCCCCTTTCCCAGCTCCTCCCATGACCATGCCCCTTGCTGCTTGCTTGACAAGTTCACATCACACTGATTCAAGGACCCACCCAGAAGCAACTGTCTGCCCCAAATTGATGTCTTCTGGGAAGTTTCCCCGGCCCCATTAACCACACATCTCCTTCCCCAATCACATACTACAGTAAGAAAACCCTCCCTAATCAGATACTACAAGGCCTAAAATTTCCCCATTCAACCTTCACTCCTTTGGGTTAAGCAGTGCCCTTTCCTAAGGGTTTCCTTTAAAAGGTAAATACCCCTGGAAGGAACAACTCATCACTACTACCTTTGTGGGAGACATTCACAGGGCTCAGAGAATCTGACAGCAACAGATGCCTCGCAAGGCAGGTGGAGGGCACCCTAAGAAGGAAAGGGGACAGAAAGTGGGCCCAAAAGGTGCCTCCCCAGTTTGGCTCCAGGCATGCGTGTGGGCTGATTACTAATCTCACCCAAGACACAAAGGGCAGCAGCAATGGTGTGGATCCTTCTGGGGCCACACCCTGACATGGTAACCTCTAGCTGAAGACTGCCCATTTGACAATGCAAAACCAAAGCTGGAGCTGCAGGGAGGAATTCTGCAGGGACAGAACCCTCTGGAAGCTGTCATCGGCATCCACGTAAGGCTCTGCGAGTGCACTGGAGAGGTGAAGCTAGACTGACAGCTTTGTACAGCGGATGGCCATGCTGGGTCCTCAACCCACCTTCCCACTTCCTCTAACCAAAGGGAGTCCAGGGCTCAGGCAAAGGTCTCCAGAGTCATCTGGAAGTTACCATGTCTGGCTGTGGCTCCAGGAAGATCAATATCAGTGCTGCTGCTTTTTGAGACTTGGATGAGATTAATAATCAGCACAAACACATGCCAAACAATTTACAGTTCTTTCAAAAGTGTATTTCTATCTGACATGTTTTACAAAGGCCTTAGGTGACCATTGGGGAGTATACCTAATAAGCAGTAAATTCTAAAAAATTTAAATATCACAAGAAATATTAAGCACAAATAAGAAACAACCTACAAAACTGCTTCTTTAGAGCTACAAATTTGGCTTTGAGTTTCCTGGTGGCCAAAGTAAAGAAGAAAACATGATGAGTTAGCATTTTTCTAATTGTCTGTGAGAAGAAAAAAGAACAGTTTCTTGGGGAACCAAATTATTTTTCCAACCCCTAGCTCTAAAATAATTTTTTCACATGTGGCTTCATTGGGGGACATGAAGACACATGACTGGCAAGTTCCTACAGCACACACGAGGATGTTTCACCCCATTGCCTCAGAATGTGGCTCAGGGTGAGCTCTTCCAGGGTAGGAAAGCACACTCCATAGTTAACTACGCACGTTCACATCTGTTCCTTACACCGATTCCATAATGTAAGTGTTGTTCCGCCCACCTTACTTAAGAAAAGACTGGAGAGTTTAAGTGACTCTCCCTCGGCCAACCACATTCTGAACTCCTGAGAGGTGCAGAGTTAAAGGTTGGACCTCTGGCCTCAGGCCTGTGTTCAAATCACAACTCTACCACTCACTAGCTGTGGACCGTGGGAAGCTCCTTCCCTCCTATAATTTTGCCCGAGAGGTTGAAGAATGAGGTGCCCATGGATGTTTGAGGGTTAAATGAAAAAACATGACACAGTGGTCAGCACCCTGTCAAGCCAAATTGAGGACTAAGGCAAAATGACAAATGTCTGCACCTATAGATACTTATCAAAATACCCTCCCAGATTTTGAACCAAGTGAGAAAAGTTAATGAACGCTCTATAATAAAAAACATGACCATATATAAAGTCCTGTGTTGCTAATCTGTTTGCATGCCATGGTCAACCTTCATAAACTCTCATGGGACCAGAAACCCTGGGCTTATTGGATATGACTGTTCCTGTTGCACGATAACGCAGGGTTATAAAACAAACACCAGCCTATCTTTCCTTAAAATGCTGATGTTTTGTTCATTGTGGATTTTTTGCATTAATTTTTATTTTTCAAAATATTGCATTAAAATATTACTTTTCTTGCCATATGACCCAAAAGTGTCACTCCTAGTTATATACCCAAGAGAAATAAAAACATATTTTCACACAAAGACTTGTATGCAAATGTTTATAACAGCATAGTTCATAACAGCCAGAGTGGAAACAGCCCACATATTTATCAACTGGTGAATGGATATACAAAATGTGGCACACCCGTACAGCAGAACCTATGTGGTAATAAAAAGGAACAGAGTACTGATGCATGCTGTGATGTTGATGAACCTTGAAACATTATCCTAAGTGAAAGAAGCCAGTCACAAAAGACTGCACATTGTACATATTATATGATTCTATTTATAGATAATGTCAGATTAAGCAAATTCACAGAGAAACAGAAAGTAGATTAGTGGTTGCCAGGAACTGGGGGGAGGAAAGAATGGAGGTGACTGCTAATGGGTACAGAGTTTCTTTGTGGGGTGATAAAAATGTTCTGGAATTAGAGTAGTTTTGATTGCATAATCTTGCAAATATACTAAAAACCACTGAATTATTTTAAAAAACTGTGAATACATGCACACACATATGGTATATTATATATATATATATATATATAAATTTATCTTGATTCCTGAGTTTTTTTGGCATCCCCTTCTGTGTTGCACCTAAGGTGAGCATCTCACTCACCTCATCCAAATCCTGGCCCCACGGGGGTGCCCAGGGCAGTGGCTGGCACAACACAAGTATGTGATAGGTGGTAGCCATTATGAGTGGGCACTGGCATGGGGCCCAGCATGCAGGGAGACAAAGGAAGTGAGTCAGAGTTGGTCCCTGCCCTCAGGACCCTCCCAGTCTAAAGCCAATGGCCGTGCCAGGGATTGTGATTTGGGGTCATGTACAAGCGACCAAGGATGGCCTGTGTTCTTTGCCTGCTTGGTCTTGTTCTAGCCTGGTATGAGTGCCCAAGACTATAGACTGTTTCCCCTCCAGTCTCTGTTTCTTTTCATAGTAACATCACTCCTGACTTTTAGCTGGGACATGGCCACCCACAATAAAGACTATATTTCCCAGCTTCCCTTGCAGCTAGGTACAGCCATATAACCAAGTTCTGGCTAATGGGATTTGAAGGGGAAGTGACATGTTCAACTTCCAGGTCATACCCTTATGGGGGAGGAGCCTGTGGATAGAGAAAAACCTTGAGGATGGTAGAGCAACAAGACAGAAGGAGCCTGTGTCCCTGAGGGCCTCGCAGAGGAGGTGTCAGGCCAGCTTGCACTGGTACATGAGCATTAAATAAATTTCAGTCCTGTTTATCTCACTGTGGTGTGTGCATGTGTTAACAGCAGTCTGTGCTACACGCTCACTTCCACAACATGTGAGTGGGAAGTGTCTCCAGTTAGTGGTCAGAACAGCCAGGCCAGAGCACCCTGCTCATTCATTCATTCATCCATTCACTGAAACCCTCTCACTAACCATCATGTTTCTCAGGTCTCACTTGCCTCGGGTCTTATCTGTAATAAGATCTGATTTTTCTGGATTCCAGTGGGGAACAGAAAGATGCAAGTAAAATAAAGGGTGCGAAAGAGGGGGAGCTTCATGTTGAATTTAGTAGCCCCTCCAGAGGCTTCTGTTCCCAACGCTCATGCCTGGCTTGGCCAGTGTCTTCACAGGGTGCTGGGTCACATCCCAAGAAGCACACACAAGCACAGCCTCAGTGGGCTCCAGGTGGACACGTGTCTGTCCACATGCCCACACCTCCATGGGCACAGGCCAGGCTGGCACATCCTCTCCTGGGTCCTCCCCAGCACCTGCAGTATAGTGTTGGCACTGTGGAGGCCTCCGAGAACGTTCATCCAGTGAATGTGAGTTATGCTCCCAACTCGCCCTTGTTTGGTTTTCCAGAGAACAGTGTGCCTGTGGCCTGCCTGTCTGGTCACAGTCAGTTTCCAAATCTGCAAAATGGAACCAGCAACACTGGCCCTGATGACCTTTAAGAGTTTTTGAGAGAATAAAATTAGAAAAAACATGAAAGTCATTCAGAACCTGTAAAGTGCTATGGAAAAGAGAAGTGGTATCAAGATCTAAGTTCTGCTTTCTTGGTGGCCTCAGTTATTCCACCTGTGAATTGAATGGGCTGAAGGGGTTAGCCACACACAGCACTGAAGAGCAGAGTCAGACAGACCTGGAGCGTAAATCCCAGTGCACAGCTCACCAGTGGTGTGATCTTGGCCTAACTGCTTTACCTCTCTGAGCCTGCCTTCCTAGTTGTGTGTGAACTGACAGATAACAGGACCATCCAATGGGGTTCGGCGAGAATTCTATGAAATGATCTACATGGACAGTCCCCACAACGCTCCCATGGAAATGTCTACTAAGGAAGAACATCTACTCTTATTCCAGCATGTTCTAGGGTCCTCTGATTGTTTGCCACAAGGTTTCTGTATCCTCCCTGCACAATTAGTGAATTTGGGAAGCCTTCCCATCACCTTTATGACCCTGAGACATGACTAAAGAGTTCCTGGAGAAAGGTTATTTTGTGCTTGGAGTTGTTTTTCATGTGGATAATTTAATTACGGAACCCTGGCATACAGGAGATCTTTTTCTTTTTTGATTTATGAGTTAAGGAACAAGGCAAGGTCAGCAGCACAAATGTGAAACACAGTCCTGTGCCTTCTGGCATTCACCCATAACTCATGCATTGGGTTAAAGCTGATTGAATTTTACTCTGCCTCAAAAAACATAATTTTTTTTTCTTGGTATTGTATTAATAACTCACCAAGGAATACAATCAGG